TGCGCAGACAGAGATATAGCATCGGCTGCCGCATTAGAAAGAAGGAGACAGCTGCTAATTTGAGTGAGGATGGTTTGTGCGAGCATGTATATTTTATGAATAAAGCACTATTTACGTCTACGATGTTTACTTTACGCTGCTGTTACACTTCAAAATTAATTGAGAACTTTCCTGAAATTCACTATACAACTATAATAAATGTAACGATAAAAAAATTGTTTTTTCTTTTTTATTAAACAGGTCGCATCAACCTTGAGGGTTATTAGCAAGATGCATATTGTATCAAAATGCATATTTACAATGTAAGTTTCTTTTGGGAACGAAATAATATTTTTAAACGAACAATTCAAACCAAGAACTGGATCTAGAGTCTTAAAAATAATGTGGTTGTTTCTTTCCTGAATAAATTGTGGACACTCAGTCATAAAGTGTTTTACCGTTAAATTTAAGTTACAATACTCACAAATTGCTTTTGGATTCTTACTGATAACCATGTATAAATCGCATATTACCGAGTCTTAGACGCATTATAGTAACTTCTGTTTTTCGACCGAGAGGTAACTTTAGCCACGGTTTCACAAACGGATTCACTATAAACATGCAACTTATCTGTTGAGGTTTGCCATCGGGTTTGCCATTCAGTATACACTTTTACTTTTAGAAAGTTTTTAATGTCATCGATCAGCATTTCTCAGGTCTCTATTGAATCTGTGAAAATGTACTGCTTCACGAGCGTTTTTGTCAGCTTCTTCATTTCCATATATATCTTTATGTGATGGAATCCAAATGAAAACTATATGCTTGTTTTTCTCTTGAACTTTATGTAATTCTTGTTTAATTCTAATTGCCAGAGAGTTGCTTGGATATATCTGTTATCAGTTAATATGATGATGTCCACGGGGTTGGAAGAATTGACAAGTAATAAGGGCACGGTATATAGCATGTAATATTGCTCGAATATGGAGGAGTATATTTTTAAGTTAAATTAGATCCCATAATTGCCACTCCTACTCCATCATTTTATTTAGATGCGTCTGTACACATTTCTGTATAGCCCATCTACTTCTCCTTAAGTCTTTGCAAGTTTTGGATTTTTAACAAAATAGGTCAATGAAGTAATCATTTTTGGTTTTTTCAAAGTCGAAGGCGGTGAAGATTTAAAAGTAAGGAGAAACCACGGAGGAAATATATATTAATAGAGTTAAGATCCATAGTTATTCTATGGTAGAAAGGTTTTACTATTCGTGGTTTGTTATTAAATAACTTTAACCAAATATTTTGATATATGTGTTATTGTAAGGATCTGCATTGCATTTTACTGCATATGCTAATTTCAAATAAATTCGTCTACCAATGAGAGATGGTTCACTAGCTTCACATTAGAAGCTTTTTATTAGAGTTGATCTAAAGGCTCCCAATACAAGGCGAAGTGCGGTGTTCTGGATTGCTTTCAGGGATTTTAAAACAGATTAATTTGCAGCTCCATAGGCTAACTTTGATCTACTTATTGTTCTATTAAGTAAAAGGCACACTCTGTCCCCCATCCTCGGTTAGATAGAGCTTTTAAAATAATTAGCCTTAAACGGCCGTCAATAACCAATTATTTAATATGTTCTTTCCAATTTAATCTTCGGTCAAAGGTCACTCCTAAGAAACGTACAAAGTCTCTTTTTGGGAGACATTTTTGGTGTAAATTTATTAATGACGAGTCTGGATTGTTTTTTTGAAAAAAGTATATACTGGATTTTTTAAGTAAAAAATTGGAACCAGTTCTCTAAATTGTAAAAATAGTTCTGCGTGATAGCAAAGAATGTTTCGGTATTATTACTTTTTCTAAATATTACCAAGTCATCTGCATATAATCGACCTTTTAGTGGAGATTGTAAGCCTTCAAGAACATCATTAATATCCATTATGAAAAGAGTGGCACTTAAAACAGATCCTTTTGGAATTTTGTTTTCTAGGTCCATTGTTAAGGAAAATAGACCATTCGCCTTAATTCGGAATTTTCGATTATTTAGAAAATTATTGATAAATGCCAAACAATGCCCTCTGATTTGATTATCATATGTTTTTAATTACTAATCATTTTTATGCTGTATTGCATGCTCGCTTAATATCAGAAGGTACTGCTACTCATTTTTGGTTCAGTACAAAAGCTTCATTTACATTGGATTCCAAGGCTAAAATATTATCCATTGTTGATCTGTTCCGGCGGAAGCCACTTTGATTTGGACTAATCATATTTTGGTTTTACAATGTTCATAATAATCGTTTGTTTATTATCTCCTCTAATAATTGACACATAGCACATGTCAGCAATATTGGCCTATATGATTCTGAGATATTTCTTGGATTATTTGCTTTAGCTATTGAGATAATAATATATTCTGACCATATTAAAGGGACTAATAATAGCTGTCATTAAGAATACCAATAAAATTTTCTAATGTAGTTTTTAAAGTATTTTGTACGTTTTAAAGCCTTATATTTAGTCAATACCGAATTATAACCATGAACAATCCATGTAACAAAACTTTTTTAAAATAATTTGAGAACTCCATGGATGACAGACACCCTGAATGTTTGCAAATCGTTTTATATAAACAAAATCAGTCTAGTAGTTCTTTGTCGTTGGTTTATGTAAAAACCACAGAAAGACAGACATCATCGCGAAAATGGTCAAAACTACTTCAGGGAAAAATCAAGATTCCTATACTTTTCTTATTGGATAAAAGAATTTTAAAATTGTTGGCATGTTATGAGGAAGTTTGTAGGGCCTTAAGAGCATTACTTACCTTCCTTCGCATTGACTAGTATTTGTGGCAGTTCTACTGGGAGGATGGCATTGAATTAACCCTGTATAACTTCCTAACAACTTCACTTGTCAGGGTTGTTAATTTATAAGTAGTTTCATTAATATTTTAATTTTATGTCATGAAGAAATTTCATTATACACATTATATACATTTATAATTTGTTTTTAATTTTTTTAATTTGAAAGTTGGGATCTTCATCATCTGAATTAGGGCGTGGTTTAAAGCCCACTTGTACTGAAGCTCTAGGCTTATTGTACCCCTCATAGTTTCTATCCCATCAGATTGATTTTCTTGATGAATTCAAGAATATGTCTGATGGGCGCTTTTGCGATTTCTTCAGGTTCCGGATATTGTACCCCGAAGTACCATTCCCGTTCCCATTTAAGGTTCCGGCAGTGCCATAGTATGTGAATAGGAGTTTCGTTCTCCTCTTCACATATTCTACTTAGGGAGTCATTAGATATCAAGTTGGGATCAAAAAAAAAAATCCCACATTGGTGACCCCCGACAGAGCATGCAACCTAATAAAAGATCCACAAAGTTTTCTCGATTTTTTTTTGTTCGCTTCAACCCTGTCTGTTTCTTAAACGCGACAGATTTACGAAACAGACGCATGCATTCCTAATTTAATTAGTTCCTTTATTAACTTTGCCATAAATTAACCAATTGCCGATTTATTCAAAAATTTCATTAGACGATGACAACCATTTTGCAGGCAGGCAGTTCATATATCATGGCGAGCTGTACTACATACTTCTCATAGCAAACTTTTGGTATCTTAAGAAGCAGATTCCTTTACCTACAGCTTTAGGACTAATAGCCGAAAACTGGAACATTCGCTTACAAAAATTGGTTAACGTAAAGATAAAACGGTAATACATAGAGTAACAAATGTAATAACCGGTAGATCTTACCGCTATCACAATTTAAATAAATAGGGGTCTCTTTATAAATAGATACCTAATTAAAGGTAAACACTGCTGTTACCAATGTACTATTAGGAGTATGGCAGCGCTATCATCAACCCCTGGTTCCTGGAGTCCCGAAAAGAACTTCATCCATTTAGTCGTGACAAAAAAAAAGAATCCTCGAGTAGAATAGCTGGTAGACCTTAGAAATAAGTACGCCAGGGATTAGCAAATGCCTGATATATTTTCTTTTATACCTGGTTTTTGGAAAGGGATGAGTAAATAAATGACTTCGAGAAATATATCGGGTTTGAGGATCTCTTCATCAAAATTTAAATTACTATTACTGGCAAAACAACACTTCTCAACATAATAAAAGTATTGAGTCAATAAAATGACACGAGTTTGCAATATTGAGGTTCTTACACTGCCAAATGTCCTCAGTTCATTGTGAGATTGTGAGATTATATAGAATTTTAAATTTAGTGTCTTTCTATTTGTAAATGAATCACAGTAGTTAATAGTTAATAAAATTAATAGGATATGGTCATAAAATATTATAATTGTTTTATTAAAGGTGAAGCTTTATCTTGTAATATAAAATATATAATATACTTCTTTGAAAGGGCCATAAAGCAGTATAGAGTAACATCTTACTTTGCCAGATATTGTCGCGTGGGCTGTTTTCGACCAGTCCGGTCTTGCTCGTCAATCGATAAGGAGTTGTAGCACCTATATATTTTTCTTTAGTTGTCCGCAACCCACTAGAATTGATCCGATGCGATAACGACGGCGTTACGGGAGGTTTCTAGACAAACTGGAATCTACGACAATTTTTAGATAAATAGGCCAATTTTGGCGTTTGGGGTTCAGTTCATAGAAATATTTTGTTTCGTAAAGTTTAATTGCCTATATAAATTAATAGTGCTGATATAGAAAATACGTATTTGAAATAAATTACTGCTAAGTTGTAAATAAAAATTTGAAAATAATTTTAAATAAATTAAATAAATATTACAATATTGTGTATATTAATTTAATTTTTTATTGTCTTGCACTTTTAGATAAAATATATTTCTGAGATATTTATTTCTAAATTGTTATTTAAAACATTGCAAATAATATTTATTTTAAAGGACTATGGACTTCAACTTAATAGAAGACCTTAAAAATTATTGTTTTTTAGATAGTATTCACTAATTTTTAGATAATTATAATCATTTTAAACACTTTAGATTAAATAACCAATATTTGAAAATACCTAAAAGGTATAAATGTGGACAAACATTTTTTATTACGTTTCATTTTTAAAGTATTTATTTCTAAATATTAATATGATTTTTATAGTTTTCTTTTTGTGTATTACTACAGTGGTGAGTAAAATATACCCAACTAGACTATATGATTTCAGAAATTTTACCCCACATATATTTTACTATGAGGGGTGTAAATCATTAAAAATTATATAAAATTAGAAACAAAAAATTGAAATTGATTAAAGTATATTATTTTAGTTATGTGCAGGCGGTCCAAGTATTACCCTCAAAGATGGAAAAATTAAAGGAGTAATGGTTCGATCAGAAAGAGAAAAAATTAATTACTATTCTTACATAGGTATACCATATGCAAAACCACCTATTGGTAATCTAAGGATGCAGGTATGAAGTTTCTCTATAGAGATAAAATATGTAAGAAATAAATCGTAATAAAAAAGTATATAAATAACGACGATAAGGCGGCAGTTTAAAGCGGACCTGATCAGAGCTGGGCGTCATTACATATTAGGCCGTCAGATAGTGACATATTTAGGCGGCTTATTTTTGCATGCACGCCTCAAAGATAGTTAAAAAGTACATCGATGTTGAGTAGAATGAAAATAAATTTACGACTGATCCCTGGAAATAACATATGGATAATAAACTCGATTTTTCTTAACAGAAATAGAAGGTGTCTGTTGCGCATATTTTCATTCAAGCCGTGTTAACTTAATGATTAATTAATAAATCTTCTCTCCGGAAAAACAAAGTGTTGAAAGTGGCTAAAGGGTTAAAATAAGGGCGTAATCTTGTAGGAAAAATTAAGATTTTAACCCATGTTTCCACACAAGTCCATCAAAAGTATGAAAACATACATATCCACGACCACAAGAAAAAAAACATATTGGTTTGAGTGGTGAAAATGGTTAAGTACATTTTAGAGAAATTTTATTTTTTAGTTATTTTTCCATACATGCATGTTAGAAAATTTTATTGATGTGTTAGACATAGTAATAAAATTAACATGACTATCGGATATGGACGAAATAAAGACTTACGTCGGAAACTTGAAGAAAACTTGTGAGCAAATTCTCACGCAAGCCGTTTGACATATAATTAATAAAATATTTTAATACTATATAAAAGAATGCTTGAGTGTCGAACGTACTCAATCATATTAATTATACATCATTTTGTTTATGGAAAATCTGATAAATAAAATAAAATCTAGAAATGTTCACCATTTTCCCACACAAGTCGTTTGGCATATGCTTAAGAAAAGTAATTTTAAGACCATATTTATTTAAAAAAGAGCTGTCGTAAATTCTAAAAATATTTATGCAGGATGTAACATGTCAACTAATAATAATTTACGTTTAATTACCTTTATTAATTAATTATATTTAATTTTGACTAGCTCTTCTATGTGTTTTTATTAAACTATTTACTTACCTTATTCGTCTTAATTCAAATGAGCATATCAGACTCTAGTTTTCTCAGTCATGAATTCAGGCTTTTCTAATAGACAATTTTGGGAAATATTTTTTAGGGTATATGGGCGGCAATAACTCTTTTTATTTTTAAAAAGCTAGTTTTGAGAACTTTAAATACTAGGCTTTACCAAAAGGACAATATTAACTGATTAACTCAAAGTTACATTTAATATTAGCAAAACGTACACCAAAGAAAAAAAAATATTAGCAAAAAGAGAATTGTTGTAACCATTAAAATTAAAATTAGGAATATAAATAAATTTTGGTTTAATATTTAATAGTGGAAATGTTTGTAGACTTTTACAAATACCAAATAAAATTTACATGGAATATTAAAAGTACAATTCAATCAATAAGCGAACCAATATGCTTTTAGGAACACTAAAAATTATCCAATAAATTTTATACACTGAATTTGACCATCGTACGATAATTTTATTAGTTGTCATTGGCGATTTAGCTGGCTATAATTAGTTAAAATGCAACCTTAGTTACGATCCTTAGATGTGGCATTCAGGACTTTAATGATCATAATTCGACTCAACGAGTCGACTTCTAATGAAGATAAAATTGAATAAAGTCCTTAAAATATCAGGTCTTTAGATCCTCTGATCCTTATATCCTCAGATCCTTAGATCCTTAGATCCTCAGGTTCTTAGATAGGTAGATCCTCAGATCCGTAGATTCGTAGATCCTAAGATCCTTAGACTGCCAAGTATTCGCTTTCTAAATAAAATTATGTTTTTACAAAGCCCTTACAAGAGATAGTCCTAAAAATAATATTATCGATATGAAACTCAAGCAACATAAAAGAAATTTATAGACACATTTAAAAATTCAAAATTAATTTAAAAAAAATATATTTATAAATAAACAAAAGGTAGAAATGTAAAGACTAATTAGATTTTTCTAATGACATTAAAAACTTATCGTCACTGCAGTGTAGACACTTTACCCAACTGTTTAGGTCAACAATTCAATTAGAAGTGAAGATCATAGATAAAATAATATGTAAGCTAAACCGTTTAAATGTACGGCTCTGGTAACAAGTTGTTAGTTCCTCAACATACTAGTTGGAGCCTCTATCGCACACTACACAATTGGCTGATTGGCTTGACAGTTAAAGGCAGCGGAAAAGAAGAAAAAAAAACAAAATTGTAAAGCGTACCCTCGGTTCATTCAAATGTCTTTTATTTATTTATATTTTATGAAATTCATTACTCTAAAAAAAACTAATAATAAAATTAAAATATTGTATTTAACATGAATATTAGTTTTTTAATAAATTTCCAAAAAATATAAATAAAGAAATATTTAAATTAAAATATTTGAAATACAAGTAGTTTAATCATTTAATACAAGTAAGGTGCATTTAAACGTTTATTGCATACATAACATGTATTCTATATTAAAAACAATAATTATAAGTGAAATTAATAGTAGTCTCCTCTTATTCTTGGAAAATGGACCAAATTTCGATGTAGGGTTTCTATAAAAATAAAAAGAAGTGCTATTAAACAATTTCTCTCACCTATCAAAATGCTGGCCATTCTTATAAGTACAAGTTATTTTTAAATTGCCTAAAATTCGTATATTTTTGGAAAAAATAAGCTTTCTCTAGCTTACAAATTATAATATTTTGTTTTCTATTAATAAAATAAAGCGTTTTCTCTTTAGGAATTACATTTTTGACTCTACTTTTATTTATTTGTTACAAAATAGTTTTTCTTCGTTTTGTGGGTTGTTCAAATTGTTTATCACTAATACTAAGTTTACGTTTGCAACTCATTTCTTGTTTTTCGTTGTGAATAGGTAAGCAAATCTAGCTTATGCTGCTGACTCTCGGATTGAGTTCAGTTGGGTATAGTTAAACTGAATGTACTATTATCTAATAAAATTGGTATATCATTTGGAATTAGTTGTTTACGTGTTGGGACAATTTGGCTAAAAGACTCTGGCAAAAAATAATATTTACAAAGATAGCAAGTTTTATTATCCAGTTCTCATAAATTTTAACATGAAAATAAAATAAGGTTTTATTTGAATAGCTAGCTTAAATATTAGAATACTTATTTAAACAATTGGAAGCTAACTAAGAATACTAAGATTTCCCTTTCGACGATTTACCCGGGCCAGACATGTTTTGTTATTGTTACAAATATATAAAAAATTAAATTTCATTAAGGCTAAGAAAACAACGACAAACAAAATTCTTAAACAAATCTAACACATAATATTAAATTAAATTGTTAATACTTACTAATTACATCAAATCAGCACTTATGAATCTTCTTAACCTAAAAAGTAACCCTATGGAACTTACATCATAATCATAAAATAACCACAATATATCCCATGAGGGGATATATCATAAAAATAACTTTAATTATGCTTTTATTTAATAATTTTAATTTGTCCATTTCGCCTTCCGCCATTCCGTTTTTCATTTTTACGAGGTTGTCAACATAGTTGTCAAACCTCCCTTTACAATATTCTAGCAATAGTATGCAATAGTATGCTATTGTATGGATGGTATCGAGCTTGACAAAATCAAAATAAGGTGTTTGAAATAACCCTAATCTCATGAAAGTTTATGGAAACTGGCAACATCGCTTTCATCTTATTGCGATAGTGGTCCAAATAGTATGCTTGTTACCAGTGCCGTGCATTTAAACGGTTTATCTTATATATTAATTTATTTATGGTGAAGGTAGAGAAATGACTTCAGACACGGCAAATGCCATGTTTCTAAATTTCCTACGCGAAATTTCCCTCTTAGCAATCGGTGACCACGCCGACCATTATAATTTAAATAATTTTAATACAAATTAATCTTTACATACTCTCATTCAAAATAACATTTTTCAAATGTTACAAGAGATATTCTTTGTTTGAATAATTTAGCATACATTTCCTTCTATAAGTATAAAGTTTTATTTTATGAAAATAGTTGGCTGAATATTGCCTTCTTATAAAAAATATAAAACCTATTTAATTGATAATGAATGAATTCTGTAAATAATTTTACAAACAAAATTATATTACGAAGCGGTTTTACAATAATATCTTTTTCCTACGACCACTTAGGAAAGTGACACATATCACACTATATAGTCCTATGGAAAGTGCCCTATATCACACGCGTATGAATAAGAATTTACTTTCCACCCGAGTGAGAATATGTTACTTTCCGCAGTAGTTGTCACAAAATATCAAACACCTCATTTCTATTTTGATCTATGTAATGTCCATATTAATACTAAAATCGATATGATTGTTAAATTATTGAAATCGTTGTAAATTAGATCCTAGATATTTATCTTTAACAATTATTATTAAAATAATTTTAAAGTAATGTTTGCTCTTTATTCTGGTTAAATACATAACCGATTAGATCATTCATTTGACACAAGGGCTATTAGCTCAGGTGGTTAGGACGTCGAACTTATTAACTTTGCTATTTTTCGACCGCGTTCGAATACTGGCGAGGCAGAGTTTTTTTTATTTTTTTTTAGTTTTTTTTTTTTTGTTTAGAAAATATGAAAATTGAATTAATACGATTATTGTTGATTATTTTTTTAAATACATTTTAATTATTATAGTAATATTAACCTTGGTTTTACATTTTTTTGATGACATTATTTTGTGGTCGTAGGAAAAATATTGTACATCACTTGTGTGAAAAGTTATTTTCCACACTCCTAATGTAATATACTATTAAAGAGCTGAATTTTTATGTCTAACGCAATTATCATTGTTTTTTTCATTTTCTTCTCCATCTTCTCCCCATCTACCTTTTATTCGCTTACTCCATCTTCCTCTCCATCGCCTGCATCGTCACCATCTTTAATGTAATTATATCATCTTCGAACAGCGTCATCTACATTATTTTCATCAGTTTCCCCTGAAGTTGCAAAATGGTTTCCATGAGAAAATTTGCATATATTTTTCCTGCAGTTTTCTAATTTTTGAAAATTTTAAGCCCACGCTCTACACTCAAGCCAATATTTTCTACGAACTCTTAAAGGCATTATTTTTGATTGCAATTAGTTTCATTGGTGGAAAAAGTTCTGTTAAATTTTCTGACCCCAAAGTGTACTTATCCATTCTCGCCATCAAGCCAATGTTTTTTCGGAATAGGGACGAGTTATATTTTCATATTTTCGATGAGCTTGTGTGAAAAAATTTGTTAAAATTTTAACCCCTTATTTCAACCCTTTAGTAACTTGCCTTTGGTTTTTCGAAGCCCAGTTCTATTAGTTATTAATTTAGTAAACACGGCTTACCTAAAAATATGGGCAAAAATACCATTTATTTATGTTAAAAATAATTTTCCAAAGGTTATCCCCAGGGGCTGCTCGTAAATTATTTTTCATTCTATTCAACATCGATGTATTTCTCTACCCTTTTCGAGGTTTGTATACAAAAATAGGGCATCTGCATATGTCACTATCTGACGGTCTATATCTTAGACACCATCCAACTTCAATACCGTATAATAAAGTATTTTACTCAACTTTTTCCGCTACCAAAAATCAGGTAAAAGCGTTTAGTGATGCAAAGTTATATCCAAATCCCAAAAATTTCGATATGATTTTTTTTAATAAAAATAGGTATGCATTTTAAAAATAAGGATGTAACGTTTTAAAAACGAATGCCTGTAACTTTAACAACAGTAATAAATATTAAGGAGATTTATTCGAGGATCTTTTGTTTTTGTACATATTTTTTTATTGGAAACCGTAAGTTTCATAAAGACTGACTTTGTTACAGTAATATAATTTTATGAGTACCTATTTTAGTATGTTACTCTCAAAATATACAAAAATTGTAGAAAATATTTTATACGAGCCAACTAGTAATTTGTTCAACAAGACTGGATGGGCATGATGACCAAAGTGCTCAATATGAGTGCAATACTGCCCTGCTTAGATAAGACGTCTTATCTGATAAAATTTCAGTTTGTGAGTTAAAGGCATATTTGTGATGCAGACATGCATCTACAATGTTTTCTACGCAAAAACGTCCTAACTACAATACAAAGATATAAAGCACTTGTTTCTTACATTCAGTTTTGTCCTAATATTTACATAGTGGAAAATATGAAACCAAAATCATTAATATCTCAAAACCTTCCTCATGTCAGATAGTACATTTTAGCTAAGCAAGGCAGAATACAGACAAACTACTCGAATTGTATAATATATTTTTTATACGAATTACTAATGAAAATCTACAACATATTTAAAAAATTAAGAGGTTATTAACATAAAATAAATATTTTAAAAATTAATAGTTAATATAGAAATTTGTATTTCTGAATTTCATAAATTTATAAAATAAAATAAATTGTAAAAATGATTAGACTTTAAGCCAGTTTTGAACCCTGGACCTTTCGCAGGGGAAATTATTACTTAAACCGTGACGAGAACAACTTACAATTTATTTCTACTTAATATCTATCACTGAATTGGTTTTGGGTAATTTTATTACAATTTACCAAAATGTATGGTTTTTTTAACTAATAACGATAAATATCTAGTGGATTGCCTTTAATTGTTGACTCCTAATAATTCCCTCATTTTTTATTATATTTTATCATAATAACAAAAACTCATAATGAATTATTTTTTGTCAGAATTGTCACTAACTAAAAAGAAGAATATTTAGTAAGAGGGCTACTATTACTATTTGGTCAATTTCGTATACATTTTAGAACGGATACAAGATTATATCTTATCATTGTTTTAAAATTGCTTGATTCCTTTAAAAAATCACATCTTATTTTTATATAATTGGTTAAATTTTTCTATTTTTAATATTCTTAAAAGGAAATTAATGATATTGGCATCTGCTCTGATTTATTTAAAAAATGTCTATCAAATCTTTGTTCTTTGAAATTTATCCAATTTATTCATGTATACAGCATATGTTTTAGGCACCAGAACCAGTGGAACCATGGCAAGGTACCTTCATGGCTACGAATAACAATAAAGTATGTTATCAGATAAGTTCTAAAGTGCATATTCCTCAAGATGAAGACTGCTTAACAATTAATGTGTATACTCCAGTAGTAAGTAAATAAAATTAAATGTTTCGTTTATATTAAGAAAATATGTTTTTTATAGCAAATGCATATTTCGGCTATTAAATCTATACCGAATACAAGTAAAGCGTCTGTAAAACAAACGGGTGGCACAAAATTGATCGAAAACATTTGATCGAATACATTTGATCGAAAAAACATTTTATCGAATAACAATTGATCAAAAAAAAATGATCGAACAGAAAAATGATCGAAAAGAATAACGATCGAAAAGAAAATTGATCGAAAATAGATTTGATATAAAAAGCAATTAATCGAAAAACCAAATAATTATAAAATTATAGAACAATAAGAAAAATGAAAACAAAAATTTTAACTAATTTATCTAACCTTTGTGGCCTAGAATCATCGCTGGTTTCTTCGCAAAAACAAAAAATAAAATAAACTTAAGTAACGTACCTAATTAACCTAACTTGTGCGAAAGCAATCAGTTAAATTTGAATAATACAGGTTAGACAAATTAATTTTTTTTATTTTTATTATTTATTTTGCGAGACGAACTGCGACGTTTTCAGACTGGAGCAATTTAACTGATTGCTCTGATACAGGTTAGGTAAGTTTTATAAAAATCAATAAAAATAAAGAAAACCTAACTAATTTACCTAACCTGTGTGGCCTGGGGTAATTTAACTAATTGCTCTGACAGAGCTTAGGTAAGTTAGTTAGGTTTTTAAAAACTTAACTAACTTACCTAACCTGTGTCAGAGCAACCAGTTAAATTGCTCCAGGCCGTACAGGTTAGGTAAATAGGTTAGGGTTTCTTTATTTTTCTCTTTTTTGTATAATTTTTTAAAAATAAAAATATTGGGGACGTTTATAGAAAAACGGATAAAGAATTATTAATATATTTGGTGGATAAAATCCGTAATGGCTTGAGGTCGTACAGCGTCGAGGGTCGACGGCTCTGAGCCGGTTAGCTAAATTAGTTAAATTTTTTGTTTTCAGTTTCCTTATTTTTTTATAAATTTTTTTGTAAGGATAACCGCGTAGAATCCAGGCCGCACGAATAGGTAAATTAATTAAATTTTTTATAATAAAAAAAAACTAAATTAACTTATCTAACATACGGGAGAGCAATCAGTTAAATTTAAATAGCGCAGGTTAGGTAAATTAGGTAAGTATTTATTTTTCTTTTTTTTGTACAATTTTTTTTGCGAAGTAAACCTCGAGGGCTCCAGGCCGCGCAGGTTAGGTAAATTATTTAGAATTTTTGTTTGAATTTTCCTTTTTTTCCTATATTTTTTTTGCGAGGCAAACCGCGACGGCTCCAAGTCGCACAGGTTAGGTAATATAATTAAATTTTTTGTATAAAAAAAAAAACTTAAAATAATTTACCTAAAATGCCCCATCGTGAGACAACTCGACCTTATTGAAATACATATTTTGTGAGAATTAATCACATTTTTTTAACTCAAATAAAGATAAAGCTCTAAAATAATTATTTTTAAATTAACAGTATTGTAAGGATAAAATTTGTTAAACGAGGTAGCTATCATTTAAAATTATTGAAAAATTTGCCACTAGTACCTAATTTTGATAGTCGCTTAGTTTGGTTTTCCTGGTAGTAGGGATTAGACAGACGATTGAATGGTATCGTTTGATTTTTTGATATTTTACTATTTTTAATGTTGATTTTCGATATATTGTCTTTTCGATCTAATGAATTTTCGATCTACTGTCTTTTCGATAAAATGTTATTCCATAAATTATATCTTCGATCAAATGTTATTTGACCAAATGTATTTTCGATCAAATTCCATTCGATAAAATGTATTTTCGATCAAATTTCCAATTAGATCAAATGTTTTTCGATCAATTTTGTGCCACCCAAAACAAACCATCTTTGGCCTGTTAAGATGTTACAACCTTGTTCTAGCCGAGGTAACTTTTGTAAGCTATCTGATCCTTAATAATATCGACTTTGAGGCAGATTGCAGTAAGGATCGTACTATATTGTTGCTTAAAACGTGTTCTACGCCTAGCACAGTTTCTGAAATATAGATGGTTACAACCTTGTTCGAGGCAGATATTTAATTATGAAATCTAATTTGTTTGTGAATATGTTACAAAAATCTTAGCTAATACATTTTTGATTATATTTAATGAAGGAGCTTTATCTAAAAAATTTAATTTGTAGAAACCCGAGGAAACAAACAATTTACCAGTTATAGTTACAATTTATGGTGGAAGTTTCACTCATGGATATGCTTCTATCGGTCCAAAAGTCGGAAGTAACTATGTCGAAGCAGGAATTATTTTAGTAACCTTCAACTACAGAGTTGGTCCTTTTGGTAAGCATTTTACTTTTTTTTTAATGTTACTTATAGTTGAATCTTGAAGTAATACAATGTGAATTTTTGAAGCCATATATAATATCGAATTTACACCATCAACTTATTACGTAACCTCCGCAATCTCATTCGGACTGGCCCAATGACAAATGACAGCATGTTTCATACATTTCATTATTGCTTATTATTTCGAATTCACTATATTCCATTTTGTTTCTATTAACTTTGACCGACTGTAATCACTGATATATATATTTTTTTTTATTAGGCATGTTGAATTTAACTTTTAAATTAATGGGTAGCCTAATGTATCGAACGGTTGTGTATTAAGGCTGCCACAATAATTGCGACACAAAAATGCATGAAAAAGAAAATAAAAGCTTTCCTGAATGTTTTAAGGTAGCTCTAAATAAAGCGAAGTTTGAGCTTTACTGTGAACAGTTTTCATCATCATACAATGCTAAATAAGTGGTTAAATGATTTTTTTTAAACACTAAATTATCGTGAATAGTTTTTTGGATGGCATTTAATTTCAGTTTATAATTTTGTAACTAAGCTACTTTATCGACTGGCTTATATATTCAAACACCTTGCCATTAAATATTGGTGTCATAAAATACTTAATAATGGTAATAACTGGATATTACTAGAAATTCTTATAATGATGTCAAATCTTTCTTTTTATTAGGACTTCTTTTTTATTGAATTTGAGACTTATTGCAAGGCATTTCAGATACTTACAGAAAGTAACGTATATAATGTGCGTGATTTATGGTATTTAAAATGCAATATCTGCAAAACTGCAAATACAACGTGGCGCAAAATCAAGTATCCTATGAAATGTTGTAATGGTTTCGTTTGTAGTTGACATCTGTTCGAGTCTTTCTGTCAGTTGCAAAGAACATACTTGGGAAATTCATTATGAATCAATATATGAATTGAGATCATGCCCAAAATAGTCAATAATTCGTCAATTATCCTAGCTCAAGGAGAATACCGTAGAAAATATGAAAGACGCTGTGTTCCAACTGCAAAGACATTTCGGCGATTAGTGACAAATTTTTAAAAACTGGGCCTACGTCTGGTAAACCGCATATTGGCAGACCTCGTTCAGCTAACTTAAGGGATAATATAGACCCCGTACGTAGAGATGTGATGGAAAGGCCTAGCACATCAACAAGAAAACGATCTTCACAATTAAACATTACCTTACGTTCATTGCAACGAATTTTGATGAAAGATTTGCACTTGTTTCCATACAAAATACAGGTTACCCATAAAATTCTGCCTTTAGAATTTAAAAACCGACGTCAATATTGTAATGCTATTATTAACCTCAACATTGTAATGCTACCGTAAACCTTGAAAATTAAATTGAGAATTTTGGAACAAAATCATAATGAACGACGAAGCTCATTTGTGTTTAAATGGAGCTGTGAATAAGCAGAACCATCTCTTCTGGAGTAGTGAGAATCCACAAATTATTCACTAGCAACCATTACATGAGCCAAAAAGCCAAAAGTGACCGTATGGTGTGGTGTTATTGGTAGAAAAATTTTGGGGCCTTATTTTTTTTTTGGACGATCGGGGAAGAACCACTACAGTAAATGGAGATCGCTACAGAAGCATGCTGTTAGATTTTTTAATTTTGGAAATGGAAGAGCTTAATCAAGAAGATATTTGCTATCAACAAGATGGTGCCACAGCATACATGGCCCGTGAGACAATAGCGATTTTGAACAGAATTTTTCTTGGACGCCTTATCTCGAAAAACGCCAATATTGCATATCCGCCAAGGTCTCCTGATTTACTTGTTCCATACTTTTAGTTATGGGGTTATATCAAAGATAGGGTATTTGTAAATAATCCTCGAAACTAGACCCATTAAAAGACAACATCCGGGAAGAAATCGACAAAATATTACATGAAATGATGGAGAAAGTTATAAAAAATGCTTTAAAAAGAGCTCATTATTGCATTAATACTGGGGGTGGCCTTTTGGTCGATATTGTTTTTAGTGTATAACAGAAAAAATTTTTAGAGTTTAAATAAATATTTTTAATTAATAATATGACTGTTTTGTAATTTATCTTACTTTTATATAAAAAACAAATAGGGGACTTTATTTTGCGCATATAACCTTTTTTAATTAACCTCACGAGTATATCTAAATGCTCGTGATAAAAGAGTTAATAGGTTATTTAAAAACAAGGTTAAAGTATTTTAATAATGTGTGATTATAATTAATTATACTCTAATTACATTTCTTCAAAAAATTGTTTTCTACGATCACTATTCAAAGTAGCCTACTGCGCTTCGAAATCCAACCGCAAAGTTGATGTTTTCCGCGAACTGACATTAAGTGACAGCTTTATTGCTCGCCTAATTTAAATTAGCTATAATATAATATTATTTCTTATTAATAAATTATTTTCAAGTTATTTGTATGTTTTTTTGTTATATTATCCAAGTGGACTTTGATGCGAATCGATAGCATGATTTAATTTTTTGTCTTACATCTCAAGCCAGGGCACTTTTCCAAAATTAACGTTACAAGGTATATAACTACAAAAACCATTAGATTTTGTGCTAAAAGGATCACTTATTCTATATAATACAGGACTTTGAAAAAAGACAGAAATTTGCGTTAAGGTATATACAGGGATTTCATTTCAAAACTAGCCACCCAAAATAACTTTTAAAATATCTTTAAAACAAAAAAAACACGTTAATTTATATTTACGGGGGACACATTTTACAAGTATCTGTAACCGTGCAGTTTCATCCCTAAGCGGTGGTGAATATCATTTCTTAAATTTTAAATAGAAAGGGGTATCATGTGATAGCTCTTCTTAAAGGTCTCTTTTTTCCAATCTTTTGACACATTATTTTTTTAAATCGGATTAATTTTTCACCAAGTTATAACCTAGAAACCGGAAAAAAATAAAAATATTGAATTAAAATGCATGAGTATAAATACCGAGATAAACAAGTTAGCAAAAAGCCTTAAATATTTTTTGCGTAAGATATTTTTGACCGTAAATTAAAACAATTTTTTATTGGTAGATTATTGGTTTCGTTGTGTACTGACAATTTAATTTTGACAATGGTTTATTCTTTACAAGAAAGAATTGAAATAATCTTTATTTATGATGAAGAACAACGCTGTGCACGCAGAACTGCTCGTGTTTTTAATCAGAGACATCCCGATAAAAATGTTTTTTTAGGTTTGTTGTTGTTGTTGTTGTTGTTGTTGTTGTTGTTGTTGTTGTTGTTGTTGTTGTTGTTGTTGTTTTTTAGGTCATTTTGCCATCGAACCTCAAACATCAATACCAAAAGTCTCCAAATTAACAAATATTTCCGTTGGCTATGTGCATAAAACGTTACGGCTAAATAAATTCTTTCCTTACAAAATACAGCTTTTACAACAGCTTGCTGAGGATGATTATGACAGAAGATTAGAATTTTGCGAATTAATGACTCAAAGGGCAAATGGAGACCATAATTTTATTAAAAATATTTGTTTTACTGACGAGGCAGGTTTCTTTTTAAAGGGATTTGTCAATAAACATAATTGTAGGTACTGGGACAATACAAATCCACATGTTTTTCGGGAAGAGCACAGCCAATATCCTCAGAAAATCAACGTATGTGCCGAAATTCTTGGTAATAAAATTATTGGTCCTATTTTCATAGAGGAAAATTTAACTGGGGAATTGTATTTGAACTTAATAGAAAATCTGATAAATCCTCTTATAACCGAATCCTTAGAAAACCAATAGATCAAGATGGAAATTTGTTACTAGACGAAGAAAACCTATTTTTTCAACAGGACGGAGCACCTCCACATTATGCATTGCCTGTACGAAATTGGCTTAATGAGACATTTTCAGATAAATGGATCGGAAGAAGGGGCACTATAGAATGGCCAGCGAGATCACCCGACCTAACGCTCCTTGACTTTTTTTTATGGGGACATCTGAAAACTGTGGTGTATAAAACTCAACCTCGCGATATTCCTGAACTTAGACGTAGAATAAATAGTGAAAGAGTGTGAGCGGATTACGCCAAAGACGCTTCAAATAGTGCGGGATGAATTCGAGCTAAGACTTTACCATTGCCTTGCCAACAATGGCGGACATTTTGAACATGTTATTTAAGTACAATGTAATTCTTACGCAAATAAAATATTAATAATGTAAATACAATGTAAATAATAATTATTTTAATTTAAAAGGTTAAAATGGCATAACTTGGTGAAAAATTAATCCGATTTAAAAAAATAATGTGTCGAAAGATTGAAAAAAAGAAACCTTTAAGAAGAGCTATCATATGATACCCCTTTCTATTTAAAATTTTAGAAGTGATATTCACCACCGCTGAGGGATGAAACTGCACGGTTACAGATACTTGTAAATATAAATTAACGTGTTTCTTTGTTTTTTTGTTTTAAAGACATTTTAAAAGTTATTTTGGGTGGCTAGTTTTGAAATGAAATCCCTGTATATAAGCGATTTTTTGTCATATTGTTTTTGTATCGTAAGATAAAATATTTGGGGGCCTGGTTGCTTTAAGAGATAGGTTTGTGGAAAAAGTACTAATATTTACGTCATAAGGTATAAAAATAAATACAATATAATTTTGTGTGGAACTAAATATCTAACCTAGAACAGTTTCGTATAACAAAATATTCGGGGATTTCTGTCCGTAAGCCATGTTTGATATTTAAAAAAAAAGAAAGTCAGAAATTTACAAAAAAAAAGAATAAAAACAAAAAGTATTCTGATAACTAACTAGAAGAAGCCTAAATAGTAATAATTATAATTTATTTTTGCATTTTGTCAGATAACTCGTAGTTTACATTTTGTTTTTGTAGATTATGTTATACCTGTCATAATTTTGTATTAAACAATAAGTAGGAGAACACGTAAATTTACCTTTTGAAGTCAACCATCCATATTTTGTGTACTGTTTAAATTTACCTAACGGGCCCTATTATTATAGAAATTAGTTTCAATAAAATAAACATAAAGGGGTAAATTTATACAACATTCTAAGGAAGAGAACCAGATAAATTAAACAATAGGTAAACAAAGAACAACCCTCTGTAAAAACAATCACTGAAAAATATTATACACTCCTTCATACCGAACTGTCTTTGGTTTGATCTGATTTTTGTGCTGTAGTTTTATATATAAGATAGTAGAAATTGCTATGTAAAAGAGCCTACATCTTTCTATTACACGTAGCTTTGTAACTGTAATACATTTATTTTAGAAAAACTACACGAAAAAAACAGTGCTAAATACATTAAATAATGTATTTGACACTGTTTGAAAGAAGTTCATACCCATAGGTAATTTTTTAACTATTTTAAAAAATAAATCAATTAACATAAGTAAAAGTATGTTTCTAAACACGTGTTTCTGTCACAAGTAAACAAGTTCCCTAAAATGAAGTTTTCTAATTACGCGTAGTAAATAGTTAACTTAGGCACCAGTTTGCCTAAGATAAATAAATAATATTTCTGATACTGCTTTAATAACCACAAAATCACATATATATGACATTTACCATTAATAGGGTTTTTGTAATAAGTGTAGGTATAAATCAATGTAAAATATTAAATGAGCCGTTTGTTTTGAAAGTCCATTATATTCTTGTATTAAGATTTATTATCAATAATTTCCGAAGGCAGTGATGAAGGTAATTTTAATTAAATAGTATTTAACAAGTTAACCTCAGTGTTTGAACAATTGCATTAGTTGAATAATCAGTACGTTTTATTAATGCAGTTAAACAAAATTTACAGAGACCCTTATATATATATATATATCAATTTAAGTATAAATAAATTTAGGCCACTTTCAAAATAAACGGCTGAAATATTTGTTCATGAGTGCATTAAAAACCGTGCAATTTAAAGTATATTAATAATAAGATAATAATACTATCCCTATGCACTCCCTTACTAGTAAATTTTAACGCCTGACAGATCTTGAGATCGAAAGGGCTCAGGTTCGCATTGCGCCAGTAGCAGGGATTTTTATTTAATTTAAAAAGGTAATTCCTTATTCTAATGCATCCTATCATGTACTCTTGGATTCTAATTAATAGTGCTGTTCCTAAAGTGACGCTGGGAAACAGTCACATAGCCTACACAGAACACGAGGCTAATAACTAAAGCAGTCGATGCCGTTGACTCAAAAAAACACTGTTTTAGATTTAAATATCCCGCACAAAATCCAAGGGAAACTCAAAATTACATCACAAGACATCACAACGACGTAAATGTTGGTTCTTTTTTATAATTTGACAATTTTTAATGGCCAAATGTCCCCGGTTTGAGATGAAAGACAATTGAAAGAGCAGCTTCCGATGCAAGAGCACAACGTGAATTTTTAATTAATTTGCATGCTGTCATAGATATATTGTTAAGACATATTTTGAATTCTTACAACGTGAGTTAACATTCTAAGCGTCTGTGGCAGAAATGTATTATTCTTATTAAACATTAGTAGTGCTAGGTGTAATGTACTACTGCGTTTGGGATATATTAATTTCTATATTGAGCTGAATAAGCGGGCACATGTTTTTTTTTGCAACGTATTTGTGTTGGTCACCCATATAAGACTTGTAAGTAACTGAAATAGGTGGCTGTGTCTGAACTTTGGTTTTATTAACCATATGACAACATTGGTTGCAAATTAGTTGTCAAACGTGTATTTAAAGATCTCTTTCAACAGCGATCAGAAACAGTCACTGACACCAGGATTCCAGTAGATTATTGGGTCCGCTAACTTATCTATTACGCAGAATCCTGGTATCAGTGACTGGTTTGTGATCGTTGTTGGAAATAGTTAAATTTATAGCATGTTTTATATATTTTTTAGATAAGTAATACCAAGATCTTAATAGAGAGAAATTTTGTTACTAAAAAATTTTTTAGGTTCAATTTTTATAATATTTTGGTTTCTAAAGTCTGTTACCAAAGAATGTCCAATTTATTTTTTAATTGGTTATTGTTAAGTACCAAAAATTACAGCTTTTAACCTCATTATTATATAAAAAAAAATAAAAAATGATAATTTTGCAAAAAAATGTTGGGCATTTTTACTAAAAAAAAAACAAACATGTCGCGTTGCGGCATACAAAGTCATTTTTATAGATGTGTGTCTTTAACGCGTCTCCCGCTCTTTTTTATTATTTTTTTTTTTTTTTTTTGGCATAGGCACATTGCCATTCAGCCAGACACTAATCTTTTTTATTAAATCACCCATTTCTATAAAAGTAAACCTATTTTCATCCAAAAACTAAAATAAGTAAAACAAAAGTACCAAACAAAAGTACCAAACAAAAGTACCAAACAAAAGTACCAAACAGAAGTACCAGACTAAGAAAGCCGTGAAGTGAAAGTGTTAAAACTATCGAAAGTAATGATGCATCTGACAACAGCGCAACCAGAAGTATCAAGTGATATGTAAACCCGTTTCATTCATGTTTATTTTAGAAAATTCTTTGTAACAACCATTTTTGTTTTTTTGAAAACTATGTTTTTGAACTTTAAAATTGATTTTAAGTAAATAAATAATCTATGTACGTCCTGATCTTACGTTTCAAAGGTAATGTAGGTTATGTAGATCATAATTGGCGTTATAGTCATAACAAAAATAAATTGAAATACTTTGTTTGTTTAATATTTAACAATTTACTTTATAAATTTCTAGATATATTATAATTAATACAATTTCATGTTTTGAAAGATTCTATGGTTTATATTGCATTTCTTCAGTAGTATCAGAAATGGAAGAATTTTTTTTAGGATTGCTAGGCTTTATCCCCTTATAGAGCTTAATTTTAACTAAATATTTCATGTTGACATTGCTTGTCGTTTTTGATTTAAGATTTTTTAAAATTCAACCCCTTTTAACTACCCTTGCTTATTCAGAGGCTCCGCCCCCTCATCGAGTTTGATTTTTATTGGAAATTTCAAGTTGATATTTTTCGTTTTTGGGTTAGGATTTTTTTTATATTTTAACTTTCCCTTAACCTCAATTTTTATTTTTTTTTTAGAATCAATAAATTTAATACCCCAGTGTTTGATTTTTAATAAAAATTTCATGTTGATAACTGTTTTCGTTTTTAATATATGGCTTTTTTTATATTAACTCCCCTAACTCACCATTTTATTTATAGGATTCGTCCACTTATTGCTGTTGATTTTTCTTGAAAATTTTAGGTTGCTGTCGGTTCTCGTATTCGATTTATGTTTTCTTTTTTAATATTAACCCTCATTAACTACCCCCATTTTTAATAAAAAAAAAATTTTAATCAATAAGCTTCGTCCCCTTATAAAGCTTGATTTTTGCTAAGTTGACATCATTTTTCGGTTTAGACGTGCAGACAAAAAACGTGCCCTCGGATAGACAAAATTTTTTAAAAGCTATTTAAAATTGGATGAGAAAGACTTTGATTCAAACATTTTTAAATTAGAATCATTATTAAAACATTTGGTTTTCCAAAGTTACCACATAATACTCTTCACAGGCTAATGTGTAGGTACCACAATGTAGGTACTCCTGTGTAGGTAACTATTACTGTGTTGGTACTACTATAAAAAAATTAATTCCTGCTAAAATAATAATTATGTATAGAAAAAAATATTAGATCATTAAATAATTACAGCGAAACTGTTTTATTACAATTAAATATTTTTCTCTTTAAAATTATACGCCTATGGATACACTAGCTGACGATGACGGGACGACATCTATTTCTATTTAGTTAGAGATGCTGCGCTTTTGATATTGGTTTCAAAACAAATAGTTTATTGAATGAGTAGTTAGTTATCATTTCAGAGGTAGTGGATGGGGTTTTCTGGATTTTCCTTACCTATTAAATGACACCATCATTCATTATAAGTCGCCACGGAGCGCCACGATAAATAATAATGGTAAAAGATGTTCCCTCACGACACACGCTCTTCTTTGAGAGCATTAGGTATCCATTCGAAAAGGGTGGATTATAGGAAAAAATGTGTTATTAATAATTGGGCTACACCTATAAAATAATCTTTTTTTATTTCAGGTTTCTTATCTACAGGAGATGAGTTGATTCGCGGAAATATGGGTCTTAAGGATCAATTGTTAGCTCTAAAATGGGTTCAGAAAAATATCCATCTCTTTGGCGGCGATCCAAAGAAAGTTACAATTAAAGGTCAAAGTGCTGGATCGGCGTCTGTTACGTATCATATTTTAAGTCCAGCTTCTAAAGGTATTTTTCTAATAGCTAGATTTTAATATATCATTTTTATAAAGTAATGCAAATAAGAAGTTTAAACAAGGCGAGTTTGTTAAATGTTTACATTTTTGTTACAAAAATATTACCCCTATTGGAAATTGGAAGCGATACCTTCCCGAAAATTTTATATTACAATGAAAATATGTATGAAGGTTACGACTGGATTCTTTTAGAACATAGAACGCAACACAATAGTGACTGAATAAGAATGTATTTTTCTACATAGTCCCCTTGTAGGGTGATACATTTGACCCAACGATGTTCAAGCGATTTAATACAGTAACTGTTGTCTGATTTATCCAACTCGTCAAAATAGGCGTCTGTGGCTGCAAATACTTCTAAATCCGTGGAAATTTTTTTAGGTTAAGAAACAAATAAAAGTATGTCGGGACTAGGTTTGGCAAATACGGAGGATAGTTTAACAGTTCAAAGCCTAGCTCATGAATTTTAGCCATTACAAGAACGGACTTGTGGCAAGGTGCATTGTCCTGATGAAACAGAATTTTCTTTTTTGCCAAACCAGGGCGTTTTTTGCTTATATTCTGCTTAAGCTGGTCCAGTAAGTCGCTGTAATACTCGGCATTGATTGTTCTTCCCTTTTCGAGATAATCTATTAGGAGTATCCCATTAGCATTCCAAAAGACCGTTGCCATGACCTTTCCAGCAAACGGTACTGCCTTTGCCTTCTTTGGAACTGGTTCGTCCTTTGCCGTCCACTGTTTGGACTGTTGTTTAGTTTCAGGGGTATAATGATAAACCCATGTTTTATCAACCATAATAAATCTACGCAAAAAGTCTTCCGGATCACGTCTAAACACTGCCAAATTCTCCTCTGATATGGTTAGCCGCGTGAGCTTCTGATCTGACGTGAGCAAACTTGGCACCCATCGGGCGGATAGCTTTCTCATACCTAAAACTTTACACAAAATATAGTGAAATCGCTCTTTTAATATGCCCACAGCTTCAGCTACCTCTTTCAATTTTAATCTGCGATTTTTAAGATTTAGTTTGTGAACGGTTTGCACCATTTCTTCAGAAGTTGCCTTTTTTGGCCTACCAGCACGCAGAGCATCATCGGTGCTAGTACGACCACGTTTAAAGTCAGCTACCCAGGTTTTAACTGTGGTAAATGAAGGAGCAGATTCCCCTAGTGTCGCATCTAGTTCAGCTTTTATTTCCGTCGGCGATAATCCTTTGATATGGAAATATTTTTTTACCACTCTTATCTTGTTTTTTCCATCTTTTAAAAGTGGCGCACTTTATAAGCTTTAAAAATACCCAGGACACAAACTACTTGAAGCACTCACTTTAAACTACGAGCGTTTACTAACGACAAGCAAGGCTACACAGACACGTTGGAACAGGAAAGCAAATCGGGCCTACTATAGGTTAGGCCAGAAACTTTTCATCCTATCCTCGTATGTTGGATGATGAGTACAAAAAGCAGCAGAACAGTATTTTAAAATGTAGCAAAATAATTTTTGTTCAAAATAAATTAATTAATAATCCAACATAGTGGTTAATTTTTTATAACAAAAATGTGCTTTCATAATAGACGGAGAGAACATTTTCTATAAATGTCTAATAAACTACCATTCTGTTTAGGATTCATCACACGCAACATTCACCAGTAATCACTGATGAATAAAATTCAAAATTCGTTTCACAATAAAAAATTTGTAGTCAAGTCAATTGATAAAAATCAACATATGGAATATTTTCTAAATATAACAAATTTTCCAGGACTTTTTAGAGCTGCAATTGGAAACAGCGGTTCCGCATTAAATAGCTTCGCTAACACAAACCGCAATGCTTTGCATATCGCTAGGGGCGTTGCTAAAAGCATAAATGGATCTTTGGGTTTTAACAGCTCACCGCAACAAATTTACGATCTACTGATGAATGTCGACGCCGAAACCATTCATGCTACACAAGAATATTATAACGTAAGAATAAATGTATTTGTATAATAATATAATACTAATTAAATAAACAATTATTTGGATTTCTTCCTTCCTCTATTTCTTCTTCTTCTTCTTCTTCTTCTTCTTCTTCTTCTTCTTCTTCTTCTTCTTCTTCTTCTTCTTCTTCTTCTTCTTCTTCTTCTTCTTCTTCTTCTTCTTCTTCTTCTTCTTCTTCTTCTTCTTCTTCTTCTTCTTCTTCTTCTTCTTCTTCTTCTTCTTCTTCTTCTTCTTCTTCTTCTTCTTCTTCTTCTTCTTCTTCTTCTTCTTCTTCTTCTTCTTCTTCTTCTTCTTCTTCTTCTTCTTCTTCTTCTTCTTCTTCTTCTTCTTCTTCTTCTTCTTCTTCTTTTTCTTCTTCTTCTTCTTCTTCTTCTTCTTCTTCTTCTTCTTCTTCTTTTTCTTCTTCTTCTTCTTCTTCTTCTTCTTCTTCTTCTTCTTCTTCTTCTTCTTCTTCTTCTTCTTCTTCTTCTTCTTCTTCTTCTTCTTCTTCTTCTTCTTCTTCTTCTTCTTGTACTTTAGAGGGTCGAAACTATCCATTACTTCTGGATTAAATATTCGTTGCCTTCCAGTTTTACCGATTTTACTGTTATTTTAATAATTGTTCTCAATAATAATTTATTTTAGGGTTTCGCTCCAGTACTTGAAGCTGAACACCCAGGAGCATTTATTACAGAACCAATGTATGAATTGGTTAAAAGCGGACGTATTAACAATGTTCCATTATTGATTGGATTTAATTCTGAAGAATATATTCTTCTTGCTGGAAGTAAGTAATGAAGGTGTTTGAAATTTTTCGAACAATAGTTTTATGGGAAAAAGAATCGTTAAAGTTATCTAAAAATTAATTAATTCCTTATATACCTACCTATTATAGAATAGAATAACATCTCTTTCAGTATGTAACTTACAAAATGAAAACGTCTAGGAGTCATGAGATATATGGGGTGTTCCTCATAAGTACCGACACAGAACAGGTGCGTTGATTTAACGCAATTTACTTCTATACCAAAACCACCCCTTAAAATATTTTAATCAATTCTTACTCATCCGCAAATTAAGGCTCATAAAGCGCCTAAATATTTTACCAAATATAGATTTTTTTAATTTAAACGTTTTTTTTTGTTTAACACCTTTTAGACCTCCCGTGCTACACCCTAATCCGTCTGTAGTCTGGCAGCACTGCAGCCTGCGGCTTATTGTACCACCATTTGAAGGTCCTACTACTTTCCCATTCACACCCTCCTTCATTCTCATTCATTCCACGTCGTCGATAGTTAAACGCTAGTCGGATAAATCCCATGGTGATACGGCCCATGGTGGAACCTCCCAGCGAAGGAACCTCCCAGAGGTCACTGCTTAACTGTTGCGAGCATGTGGATGCACACTAAGCTCGCGGTCAGCCTCCCCTGCTAAGTTAAACGGTTGCAGAGATATTAATTTTTTTTCGAAATTTATGGCCCCACTTTAGGCCTCCGTAACTCCTTATGGGTAAAACTTGGTGTATAAGTAAATTGCTTTAAATCGTCATATTTTGGGGTGCCCAACACGTATCTGTTCTGTTTATGCGGAACACCCTTTATAATTTAAAGTTGAAGGTGGTGCTTAATTGGCACAAATTCATTTAATCATAGAAATATACAATTTACTAGTAACTCTTGATGTTCTAAACTTTTAGGAATAACTTAATCATTTCAAATATATTTCATCTAGAATAGTTGGGTTTATTCATTTTGATGCACTTTAATACTACCAATCTCATACAACTCGGGGAAAAACTATATCGTTTTTGAGTTTGTTTGTTTTCTTAAGTTGAAACTTTGTCTTTCATCAGACTTAAAAATAACTGACTTAGCTGACTACTTCTTCATAAAAATATTCCTGATGATAGCGATCTTATATTTTTAGGTCCCGAAAAATTGGAATCTCTTGGTAGGAAATATGATAATGATGTTAGTACATTGTACCAGGCGGTATGAATGCTGATAAGACTTTACTGTCAAAAATTGGTGGCGTTATTAAAAATATTTATACACATGGCAATGATTTTAAAGACAATCTTGGAGCAGCCATTCGCGTAAGTTAAACACTTATTTCCAAGAATTAGACTACTAAATTTTTGCATGTTACATTATTTTTAAAATTCCTAATTTGTCCGTTTTACTTTAAAGTAATCTTGGTCTTCGTTTTTTTTTATAAAAATGTTTCTTTATCATTTCTCTGTCAGATTTAGTTGCAACAAAGGTTAACCACGGTTTTATAAATTCAATTTTTTAATATAAAATAATACTTTTTTATATGTACTTTCCAAAATTAAATATAAATTTAAACTTATTTCTATCTTTATCGTAAATTTATTTGGGCTGCTTTTGCTCTTCTTCTTAGTATCCTGCTTATGTAGCCTTCAACATGTAATTCAGTCTAATATATACTTTAGCTCAAATTAAATTTGAGGCAGGTATTTATGGATATTTTTCAATTGCTAAAAATAAAATGCTTTTAATAATATATACTATTGTAAATACCTCAAAATTTTCCATCGGACATAATAATAAAATATTAATAAAGAAAAATATGTTTAAAAGCTAAGTTTCTTAAATTTTAAAGCAGCTGATACGTTACAAAATATTTAGATTTTATTATTGTATGTTGTTTTTGAAATCAGGCTCAATGAAAGTGTTATTATAGATAGCTCAAATACTGTACAAATTTATAAAAATCTCAAAACACATCAACTTTAGATTATAAAATGATATCCTGCAACGTGAAAATTTTACCCCTTCATTCAACCCCGTTTGTGTGATAGTTATAATCCCCAAATTGGTGAGTAGGAAGTAAGGGCTTGGGTTATCTCTTTTGAAAGATCCCTTCACTCTCTATTCAAAAATACTGTGATTTTAAAATTTATTGCAAAAATTAACTGTTAAAAAATGAATTCGGTACAACACCCTGAACAAGTAATAACTAATAGACTTTTGTTTAAAAAAAAAACAAAGGAGGGTATGTTTTTCTGAATCCCATGCTCCCGGTCAGAAGATTTTGCACACTTATAGATATATAAAAAAGAAACTTCCGAAAATTTTAACATTCAAACCATTTCGGAACATCTTTAAAATCGCTCTTTCATGGCGGAGTTTTTGAAGACAAAATATTAATAAAATAAACATCTTGGCAACAAAGCTTACGTGCGTATCCAGGGTTTTGACGTAATACATTATGATAACGGTAATGTAAATAAGACCAGGTTACTATGGAAATACGAGTACCTAGTTAGTGTAGCAGAGTGCGTGATGGACATATCTCGAAAATATAAAGAGAAAGAAAGACAGATAATATTGACTGTTATAGAAGCGTTTTAAACTAGGCGAGGTTTTGAAGAACTCACCAAGTTCTTGGTGTGATAGCAATAAAATCAGGCGCAATCAGGCCATAAAGGTAAAGAATTAAAGATCGATGTCAGTAAAAATCAGCCAACAGAAAGGTTTACTTTTGTGATTTTATTTCCATTCAATCACCTGTAACTGCACTCTTTTCGGTTTTTAAGTTTTGGATATTGGCATCTAATGGTGGTTTAAAAGTTCTTTAAAAAAGCCTGCATCAGGTAATGCTATACCTTAGCTACAGAGACAAAAAACAACATAAATTAAAAATTAATAATTTATTAATTAAAACAGAAATGCACACGTACATTTTTAAAATAACTATGTAGATTTTTTCTCTTAAACATATTTGAAAACCTATTTTGTACGCACCTAATAAGTATCTATACAAGTACTTAAACAATAAGTACCTTAGCACCATTAGAAAATTTATGACAACATTTTTACAAAATTACAAGAAGCGGCGTGGGGTAGCGCAGTGGGTAGAACTTGAGACTTTGGATTCGAGCGATCCGGATTCAGATTCAACTGGATGCCAAGTTTTTTTCTAATTTTTCTGAAATTAAAAATTAAATTGCATAGCCTGATGGTAATTCCCCCACTCGAGCATTCACTGTTGGCTTCTAATTAACAGTGCTATCCCCATAGAGGAGCAGGGAGACAGTAACAAAGCCTACACACAATATGAGGGTTATAACCATAGCAATGCCAATGAGACCTAAGAAAAAAGCAAGTACAAGAATTATATCCTACTGGTGTACTACAATATAATTAACAAACCAAAACAAAACCAACTTAAATACTTTCGAAAATATCTATTTAAAGTTAAATGTATTCAGAAAGGCCATGATAAATACCAACAATAAAGTGGCCTTGAATAAATACTATCTACTTAACTGAATTAAAGGAAAAACAAACTCCTTAAAGTAATCTAGCAAGAGCCAAGTCATTTAAATTATTTGCCATATCTCTTGACGAATAACAAATTCCTGGCTGATGCCTTCCATATGACAAAAACCATATGAACATTGAATATCAAAATTTAATTTATTTAGAAGACTTTAATATTGACCTACTTGTAAATAATAATGTTACGTCTGACTACCTAGCCATACTTAATGCGTTGAACATGAAACAAATTGTTACCGAAGCAACAAGAATTACTTTTAGCTCAAGAACATTACTGGATCATATCATATTAACCAAGAACTTAAAAATAAGTAAACATTCTAATCCTAACTTTTTGAGTTCCGGTTTTGAATCCATAACTTGAGAACAGCTTCCATTGAAATACGCTGCCGTTTAATAACACCGCACACGCAACATGATCTTTGATTATTTGGCAGTTTGAGCGGTACATTTCTAATGTTTTCGCCAATCTCTTGGCTTAACCTTCGTTCAGACGAAATCTGTTATGCAAAAACTGTCATAATAACAATTGTGATGGCTATGAGTAAACAAAAACCCTAATCTTATGGTGAGAAAATGCGTAGTTGCCAAGTTGTAGATGATTACGGTTTTTGTTTAATTTCATTTAACTGAAATAAGTTAGGCAAAAAATGTTGCCATGGGCACGATTGTCATGTTACCGACTAAACAGAAACCCAAATCTCGTGATGGGGAATTGCGTAGTTGCCAAGTTATAGATAATTTAATGTTCACTTTAGTTTAGCCGAAATCAGTTACGGAAAAACTGTTGTCATGGAAACTCTTGTCATGCTAAGGACTAAACAAAAATCTAAATCCGGCAGTGAGGAAATGAGTAGTTGTCAAGTTAAAGATTATTTTTCTACACCCGTATTATAATAATGCACTTATATGCCCATAATCCGTTTCATAATGATACCCATTATGATACAGATTTTTCATTACGATACAGATTTTTAATCAATAGAAACCTACAATTTTTCAATCAAGCATGCTGTTTGACGTTTGTCCTAGGTTCCTATGTAATTATTTTAGTTGTCAAAACGTATTAAATTTTCGTAGGTAGCTAAACTTCGATAATTATAATATTAAAATGTCTGATATTAGCGATATAGAAGACTCCTCCACACATATCGGAGAAAGCAGAAAATACAGTACAAAATATTTTACCGCAAAAATCTAGGGAAATACCAATACCTGAAGTAATACCATTAATTACAATTTTGTAGAATTTTTTATAGAAATACGAGTAATTACTGTTATTGTGTTCAATACCAATATAAATATAATATTTATAGGTCTTGATTATTTATCGGGTGTAGAAAAAATAGCGTATGCAACTCTCATGTAATGGTTATTACATGATCGTTGCATAATATACTATTAATGTTCACTTTAGTTTAGCCAAAATCAGTTATGAAGAAACTGTTGCCATAGAAACGCTTATTATGCTAACGACTAAACAAAAACGCAAATCTCGTGGTGAGGAAATGCGTAGTTGCCAAGTAGTGGTTATTAGGTGGATGGAACGAGCGTAGCCTGATCTTATGATGTAGGTGGAAAAAAAAAACGCGCCCGGCCGTCGTTTTGAAATTCGCGCGCGCGTCGGCCGGGCGCGCTCGCTTCGTTCGCTTTCCTCTGTAGTAGATAAGAGGTGGGTGGGAGGAGCGTAGCGTGATCTTACGATGTAGGTGGGAAAAGGGCGCGCCCGGCACACGTTTCGAAATTCGCGTGTGCGAATTTCGAAACGTCGGCCGGGCGCGCTTGCTTCACTCGCATTTCTCTGTAGTAGATAAGAGGTGAGTAAGAGGAGCGTAGCGTGATCTTACGATGTAGGTGGAAAAAGAGCGTGCCTGGCCGACGTTTCGAAATTCGCGCGCGCGAATTTCGATATGTCGGCCAGGCGCGCTCGCTTTCCTCTGTAGTAGTTAGGTTGTGAGTGGGAAGAGCGTAGCGTGATCTTATGGAGAAACTGTTGCCATGGAAACATTTGTCATGCTAATGACTAAGCAAATCCCGTACTGAGAAAATGCCTAGTTGCCAAGTTATAGATGGTTTTATTTTCACTTTAGTTTAGATTAGGATATTGTGTTAAGAGTTAATCTAAAAATAAGAGGCAACTACGCATTTCCTCACCACTAGATTTAGGTTTTTGTTTAGTCGACATCACGACATCTCCACAACCGATTTCAGCTAGACTTAAGTGAAAATTAAATGACCTGTAACTTGCCAACTATGCATTTTCTTACTACAGGATTTGGGTTTTTGTTTAGTCGTTACCATGTCAAGTGTCTCTATGGCAAGAGTTTCTTTGTAACTGATTACAGCTAAATTAAATTATCTGTAACTTGGCAACCACGCATTTCCTCACCATGGGATTTGGCTTTTTGTTTAGTCGTTACTATGTCAAGCGTTCCCATGGCAATAGTTTTACCATAACTGATTTCGTCTAAACTAAAGTGAACATTAAATAATCTATAATTTGGCAACTATGCATTTCCTCATCACGAGATTTGGGTTTTTGTTTACTGGTTACGGTTGTCATGGCAACAATTTTTACGTAACTGATTTCGGCTAAATGAAAGTTGACCCGCCTTAAGAATAAATACGAACAAGATTTATTATGTTGCTACTATAAACATTGCTTTACTCTACCTTGTCATCGTAACGTAGCATAGCATTGGATGGAAATGCGCGAGTTTACTCCAGGCTCTACCTAGTCAATTTCTCTGCGTGCTCGAATATTCTGTAGAAACTGCCGGTAGGTTTC